GTTCATAAGGGAATGATGTCAGAGATATATTGCCAAATCTTTTCCCATAGGTATGAGAAATAGAATTCAATTTAAAGGGAAAAGAGCATTGCAACATTTGGGATCCATGATATAAGGGCTTAAAGAAGACTTTTGCCATTACTTGCAAGGAGCAGATTCTAGTACGTGGGTTCTGCTTTCTCCTACGCTCAACAGTTTCTCACAACAGCTGCATGGAAAGGCTTAAAAATCTGTATGGCCTTTGTGCTCCTCTAGTCCCCTTCTTCCCCAGCAATTGAAGGAGACACAAACAAACACTTCACTGTCTTTCTCTACACTGTAAACCACAGATAGAGTACCTCCAGATGTTGTTCAACTCTAGTTTCCATCAGCCCCAGCCAGTATGGTCAATGATGGTATTGTTGGTCTCCAACTTCCATCAGCCCCAGCCAGCATTCCCAATGGTCAGGGATGATGGGTGACTCCAAGAACTTCAGAGTCTAAGAACTTCCCCATCCCTGCTGTATTTGAAAGATTCATTTGTTTGCAGGGTAGTCCTTTCCAAGGACTGTTTAAAGATAAGAAGGGTGAGCAGCAGGAGCCTTGAAGTTGCCCCTCAATAACAGTTAGTACCTGAACAGCTGACCAAGCAGGCAAACAGTTAACCTGGGGCACCATCTCCACTACTATGGTGAGATATGTTGCATTTCAGTACATTTCAGTAATTATTTCTGGACTTGCATCTATAAATCGAGATTAGCAATACTATGCAAGTTTGCACTCACTTTCATTTGCTTTCTTTTTTCTGGTGATGCTTTCCCTTTTTTGGGGGGGCAATGCATAAGTGGCGACACTACATTGATCTGGCAGAGCATAGGACAACATCTTATGGATTTTCAATTCCTCATATCTTTAAGTAATATGTGCTAACTTTTTCTTGCCCACCAGTCCTTTGAGCTAAAAAAATTTCTTCCTTACCCCACTTAACACCATATGCCACTATTTGTGTTAACCAAGGGAATAGGGTGGGAATGATCAGGTTGGTAAAAGATGCATGATTGCAATCAAATGCTGTTTGATCTGTGCAGCAGAGCATAATTCTTATTCCTATAAACTACCAGAGGCAGATGAAGAGGTGGAGGAGAGTGATGGTGGTCACTGTGGTTAGGAATCTCAGCCTCTTAAATGAAACAAAATATCTATCAGCTGAAGGCCAGTTCTCAGTTGGAAACAAAACTTGATTTGAACACTGCAGGAATGTACCACGTCCTAAATGGGAGACAGGAAACTTCAGGGCCATCTGCAGAAAAGAAAAAAAGAATAATTTTGTAAAGAATGTGCAGTTTAGGTTTAAAGACTATTCTGGCTGGTGCCTGCTGGATTTGGGGATATCATAACAAAATAGATTAGAGACACTGCAGAATTTTCTGGCTGGAGCCAAAACCTGTGCTTTTATTTGGCCATGAGATTGCCTGAAATGTTTGAGCTAAAAAAACAGTGCAAAATGGCAGACATGCAAATGCTAATAGTCATTGAAGTACTGTGCAAAAGCAAAAAGAATTGTAAACAACAGCATTCAATAAAATTTCCTGTGGACTTGATAAAAGCAAAACATAACTGTATACCATAAATCAAACTGAGCAGTGCACAAAACCAAAATAAAAATAAAGAGTCAAGTTCTAGGAAAACTAAGGAAGACAGATATATTTTAAAGAGGCATTTAAAAGTCATTATTCTCTCCACCACATGAATTACCCAAAGAAGGACATTCCAGAAGTACTATCACTGAGAAGGCTCACTTGTCACCAAATGACAATCTGCTGGTCTTTCATATGTATATTCTGTACATGTGAACTTCCAACACTTAGTATGTATGTTCAGGAGTTTTGGTGGGCATGAGGAATCAAGACAGTGTTACATTGGCCAACCTGTTATATTTGTTTGAGCCTTCCTTCTACCAACTTGCTGCATGTCCATTTTACCTGTTTTGTTCACCCATCATTTTCAGATCTGGTATGCAGCATTTTAAAAATTAGATATGTTAAATCACAATGCTGCACAATGTAGACAGGCAAAGTGCTACTGAGGCTTTTGGGGGCTTCTGCGTCTTTAATTAGAAGCTTCCCGCTCTGGAAAGAATAGCTTTCTTTACCTCTAATTGTTTGCTGTTCACAAGGTCTATGGCATTGTTGATCAATTGCTGACAAATTGCCACATAATTAATCAGCTCTTATTTCCTTACTTTCACTGCTGGTTTAATTTAAACTATTTTCTCTTCATTTTTAAAGTGAAATATGGAACTATTTCCTAATGAAAGAAAGCAAAGAAAAAATAGCCACAACAACACAAACCCAATTAGAGTTCTCCTTCCCACGACCTGGCAACAGAAACGGACTAATTATGGGGCAGTTTTTCAGCAATGTCAGAGACATGTTGAACAAGAAGCAATTAAGAGGCAGAAACTACAAGGAAGAGGTTTCTAATAAAAGTTTGAAGGGTTCTTTGCTGAGCAGCACTTTCTTCTTAGTAACCATTACAGAAGGACCTAGGCTAAAGGAAGGTAAATGCAATATAATTTCTTTTTCTTCTTCTTCTCTTTTCATTTCTATACCACTTCATATTTTAAAGAAAAATCTCAAAGTGGTTTACAACACATCAAAACATCAACGAAACATAAATTAAAAAATCTGAAGAAAGTCAAATATATACAGTCAAAGCAACATAATTAACTAAAATAATTTTAGAAAACTAAAATATTATCCCAAAGATTCCAAAATAAAACATTACAAAGGAGGTCAACTACAGAATACACACTCCACAAACAAAGTTAACAAGCAATTTAAAAGTTTTTTTTAAAAAAGTTGCTAAGTGAAGTCAAATATAAAAAGCACATTTAAAACAGCATAACTAACAAGAGAATAAAACATCATCATAAGCATGACATGCTGTTTGGCAGACACCAAAAGATAGGGTAAAAGAATCCAATACAGTGGTACCTCGGGTTACATACGCTTCAGGTTACAGACTCCGCTAACCCAGAAATAGTACCTCAGGTTAAGATCTTTGCTTCAGGATGAGAACAGAAATTGTGCTCCGGCGGTGTGGCAGCAGCCGGAGGCCCCATTAGCTAAAGTAGTGCTTCAGGTTAAGAACAGTTTCAGGTTAAGAACGGACCTCTGGAACGAATTAAGTACATAACCAGAGGTACCACTGTAGTTGGGGTTTGTTGTCATGTGATGTCCTTCTGGTCTCATCATATGTTACTATGTTACATACCATATGGAACCACTATTTTAATTCCACTTCCAACTGAACTAAGCAATTCCTGAGCAGCACTAAAAGAACCAAGTACAGAAGCAAGTGATGCCACCTTTTCCATCGACCAGTCCACAATCAGTGAGTGACTTGTGTGGAACTTCCTTTTACTTGAATTGCTGGTTGATCACTGCTATAGAGGTCCTCAGAATCATAGGAGCTGTTGCGCATGTGTGTGTTTTCATTTGAGGTTATTAACCCCTGAGACAGCTCATGTTATCTCCTTTTCAGAAGTTCTGTATTATGGTTAACTTAGCACATGGCAGGCAGGGACATGAGGGTGAGTTTTAGGGGAGTGGTAGCTCACTGTTTCCATAGTCCTCTTTGACAGTTGTGGGAGACATTTGGTCCACCAGAGGTTCCTGAGCTACAACTCTCATCATCTTTGATCACTGGCCATGCTTGCTGGAGCTGATGGGAAATGTAGTACAGCAACATTTGGAGCACCAAAGGTTCCCCATATGCACTCTATGGAGAGGAATCTTCTGAAATGTGGGGCCTCCTGTACTTATGGAGATCCTTGTACATTTGAGAACCCTCAATAGAGTTCCAAAATGTGTGGAAGCTATCACAGATACCGGAGCCTCCTTACTCCAGACAACCACCCACCAATGTATGGAGGCCTACTGGAGCAGCCACTGGGGGAGTGAAGGTGATGTGTTCATCCCTAATACAGTGAACCCTAATACAGAATGCCTGAGGAGGGCTCCACCCTTACAACTTTATGAGGCATCTGAAATGCCACCTCGTCCTTGTATACTTCTTTGTTGGGCACCAGCAGATTAGACGTCTTTTGAATGGCAAATTTGGAAGTAGTTTCCCCATTGTCTCTCAGCATCTTTGAGCTATACTAACCCAAATGCTAGCAGAGATTATTTATATTGCAAAACGGGTCCCGGAAGCCAGACAAAAACAGAGACAAAGAAAGAGAGAGTGAAAACCTTGCTGCAAATGATTAACGTTGAGGGGAGTATAGGATGATGACAGGGTTGCTGTGGGAGGAGGAAGGGATAAATATACAGAGAAACAATGTATAAAGTAATGTATGGGAACTATTAGGTGGGCCTTAAGAAAAGTGGCATTGTGGTCCCCCATTCTGTTTATCTTCAGAGATAAACATCTAGGGGGGAAGCAGGAGAGACTCCATGGATAAAACCTTGGGAAGGGTTTTCTTTTGGGTTGCTTTAATTCCCCTAGTTTTAGTTTTTTTAATAAATAAATAAAAATTAAAAAAAAGGAAGGTCCTAGACAATGTTTAAGGAAACTGCTAGTCTTTGAAATGTGGAAAAAGCCAAGCCTGTATATAAGATGTGTGAATTTCAGAGAAAGCCCTAGTGTTTTCCTGCACACTTGTCTCATAGTCACCTCTGCCCTCCCTGAAAATAGAGAAGAGTGTGTCCATCCAATTCTCTATGCAGGACTCCTTTAAAATTCCCCAGAGCTCCAGCAAATGGTGCCTATTCACTTATTATGTTACAGAGAAGCCGTGACCCTCTTCCTAATTGTGGGGTTATTTAAACAGCAATAGCCTGATTGAGATGATGAACTGAATTATGAAACTCTATACAGTGTGGCAAATTACCCCGCACCATCTTTCCTTTCTGTTGATGGTAATCTGTCCTTATTATCACCAACAAACTTTGTAGCTAAAAGGACATTGAAAAAAGGGCATTTAAGATGGGATACTTATATGTGTGTTTATATGTGTGTATATATGTGTACACACACACACACACACACATTTATATATGTGTATGTGTGTGAGAATATATATATGTATATATATAGCACTCTTCCCAACCTAGAATCCTTTAAATGTTTTGGAGTCATCCCTGATCATTGACCATACTTACTGGAGTTGATAGAAACTGGAGCAGCAATACTGGGGTGGGGGCACCACACAGCTCAGCCACCTCTTAATTATTTTAAATTAAGAAAGAGAAAGATCACATTTTCCACTGCCCTCATAGGAGATTATGACCCCTGGACCTATTTGTTTGCAATTTGGCAAGCTGAGTCTACTCTGGAGGTGGTCCAATGCCTGCAAATTTCATGTGCTTTGGCCAAAAGTGAAAAGTTGTGACAATTTTTAGGTTCCTGGTTATAGTGAATGGGGATGCACAGAGATTTGTTAAACATAGTGGCTCATGAGCTGAATTACAGACAGAAGTGGGGAGCATACAGAGCAACTTGATTACATAGAGCTGGATTTTTTTAAATAAAAAAAACACCACACAGATGCAAGACATACTCTTAGTAAATACATATTTGCCAGGTTACAGACTGGCAACTCTATATTGAAGGAGTATTTGATTTTCAACTTTTAAAAAACATTTGTTTGCTTTTGGAGATTATTGTGATAAATTGTCCTTGTTTTGATGTTTTGTGCCTTGGATTGAGTCTTGCATCAAAAAATAAATAATGGGCAGTATATAATGAATAATTGAAATCATTAGCTTAGTGGACCAGGGGAATGCTGTGGGTGTAGTGTATTCTGATTTCAGTAAGGCTTCTGACAAAGTTCCCCATGTTATTCTTGTGGAGAAGCAGGTAAAATGTGGCTGGTTGGCTGACAGAGCCCAAATGGTGCTCACTAGTAGTTCCTCATCATCCTGGAAAAAAGTGACAAGCAGGATGCCGCAGATGTTCAGGTCTGTCAGTTTCGGTTTAGGTCTCCACCCCCATCGTTCAGCCCGGACACTGAGATCCAGCACCGAGGGCCTTCTGGTGGTTTCCTCATTGCGAGAAGTGAGGTTACAGAGAACTAGACAAAGGGCCTTCTCAGTAGTGGCGCCCGCCCTGTGGAACGCCCTCCCTTCAGATGTGAAGGAAATAAGCAGCTATCTTCTTTTTAAAAGACATCTGAAGGCAGCCCTGTTTAGGGAAGTTCTTAATATTTAATGCTGTATTGTTTTTAACACTTGATTGGAAGCCGCCCAGAGTGGCTGGGGAAACTCAGCCAGATGGGCAGGGTATAAATAATAAATAAATAAATAAATAATAATAATAATAATAATTCTCTAATTTTTTGACCTTTATTTCAGTTTGGTTATTTATTATTAATTGCCTCCCACAGATCATCTCAAGGCAATGCACAAAAATAAATAAAAACAATTAAAATCATTTAAAATAATAATGTAAAATTAAAAACCATACAAAGTGTACAAATGCGAATGGAAGAGACCTATTTATCCAGTTGGGAAAGCTTGATGGAACAGCAATGTCTTTTGTTGTCTCCAGAAAGGGCAGATAGTGGTCACTTGTCATATCTCAATAGGAAAGCTGTTCCACAGAACAGGGGCAGCCACACTCAAAGCTCTGTTCTATGTTGCTTTGGAGCAAGCTTCTGATAGGAAGCTCTGCTCTGAAGGAAAAACTCTGTTGCAGACAGCAGTGACCTACTGGATATAGAAAGGATAAATCCATCTCTCAAGTAACCTGGTCCTGTGATAGATAGGACCTGATATGCTAAGACCAACATATTGAATTGGGCCCAGCAACAGACTGGAAGTCAGTACAAATCCCACAAGAAATATGTTTTATGCTGGCAGTAGTTAGCCTATGCAAGCAACTTAGTCAAGGTCTCTGCACCAACCGCAGCCTCTGGACCAGCCTCAAGGGTAGCCCCACAAAGAGTGCACTGCAGTAATACAACCATGGTTACAAATGAATGTACACTTCCTCTCCATATCAATTTGACTTTTTTTCTTTAAGACGTTCATACAAAATTTCTTATGAATTTTCATGCATATACGCAGGTTTAATGCAATTTTGCAGAATATACGTTCAATTTCCCCAACATAATGTAGTTTTGTACATGATTTTAACTAAGATATACATTTTTGTGCACATTCTTTTGTTAGAGACCTGCATTTCAAAACGTGGGGAAGTTTGAATTTTGAAGGATAGCTGTGTTTCAGTTTGCTTATTCATTCAGGGAGGGAGACTTAGGTCAGTTCACATTAAAATGTGAACTAAACTAATCTCTCCCTCATCACAGGATGGGGCCTCATAACCTTCCATCTAATATTGTTTTCATCTAGTTCCAGCAGCCTTTGAACACAGCACTGAAAGACCAAAAGGGTGTCTTAACATCAGATAAGCATTTGAAGAAAAGTCACAGAGGTTGTGAGGGTGGGGTGGCTAAATCCAGCTTTGGCGAATGGCAAAGCACAGAGAGATTTTATGTTGAGTTAGAATCCTGAAACAGAGGATTCTAAAAGGAGACTTTATTCTCTTATTTTATGTGTCAGACACCTTGAGTTCCTGTCAGGTAAAAGGGTGGGGTATACGTTAAGAAGAAGAAGAAGAAGAAGATATATCCAAGTGGAGAAAACCAAGTACAGTGGTACCTCAGGTTAAGAACTTAATTCATTCTGGAGGTCCGTTCTTAACCTGAAACTGTTCTTAACCTGAAGCACCACTTTAGCTAATGGGGCCTCCCACGGCCACCACGCCGCTGCCGCGCAATTTCTGCTCAAAGTTCTTAACCCAAGATACTATTTCTGGGTTAGCGGAGTCTGTAACCTGAACCGTATGTAACCTGAAGCGTATGTAACCCGAGGTACCACTGTAATGTGATGTTCTAATGCCAGCACATGCCTTGACAGGGCACACTATAATGTTGACTTTCCTTTAGCAGAGGCCAGCACTATGCTAAGTATTTATGTTTTAGAAGGAGCGGTTTTTTAAAAACAAAACAAAAACAAAAGTTAAAATAACTTCTGTAGAATGTTGAATTCAGTGACGGCCTTGAACAAATGGTTGAATTTATTTATTTATTATTAGATGCTCTACTCCTAAAAATATGACTCAAAGCTATTTACAAACACAACAGAAATATTATTAACCAATTACAATAAATACAATGTAAGGGCTATCTTGTATGGACTGATGGTCAAACTCCCTGCAGCTTACCTTGTTATCAGCTGCCCCTCACCCCACGCCTTGAACATTCTCCAGGGAAAAAATGGTTTGGGGAAAATGATGAACCACAAGAGGGCTGGTCAATTTTTGCCCTTTCCTCCCTTGTGTTCACTCCAGAAGAGCAAAATGCCATTCAGGAGATGGTCAGGATTTGCCAGTCTTTGAACCAAGTAAGAATAAATAAAACTGAAGGAGGTGCAGTCTTGCTTCTTAATGAATGATCATTTAATAAGTCCCAAATCAAGAATGTGCAATTGCAAATCAAGAACTCCTAAATATAAAATTGATCTAGAGAGAGTGATGAGGGAGATAGTAAGTGCACTGAGAAAGCCTCTTTTATCCTGCATTGTAGCAACTCTTTCAATGATTCCATTCTGGCTGTGAAGTAAAAGGAGTCTTCCCTAGTATTTAGTCATTCTGTAGGCTGTAAACCTTGGAACGCCACTCCATGTTAGATTTTGAGGGATTATACTTTGGGCTGGCCCTTATAACTTTAAGGATATGGTATGTGGTATTTGGGCATTTCTCTATTGCCACTTAGTATTCCAAAGGCTTGCTTTTAGTTGTTATAATGAAGCTATGGGTGTGTGTGTGTGTCCCATCCCCCCATACAATTTCATGACTAACCATGTGTAAAATGGAAGGAATCTGTGTAGCCAATCTTCATCCAACTGGACATGAATGTCAACTGGCTCCTTTTGCTCACTTTCATCTGGCATGAGGCTGCTTTCTGTTTTCTTTTAAATGTCAGAAAATGTTAGAGAGACTAGTCAAATCTGCAATAGATTTCCTGGACCTCTAGGGGCAAATACTTCACAACAAACTTTTATTTTGCTCTGTTAATGAGACAGTGTTTGCATTACTTAAAATAAAATAAGTTTTAAAATACTCCTAATGATGACTAGAGTTTGGAAAGTATTTCCACGTTCTCAGCAATGAAAGAAACTCCCAAATTAAATCTTTGAAAGCTAGGGAACGGGAAGTGAGAAATACACAACTTTCAACTTAGAACTGTAAGCAGAACCATGTGCCTGCCCTCATCCTTGAGGGTGAATGACTATCCTCTGTTATTCACTGGTGTCTCATCCAGCATCCATCCTTCAAATTCTTAGCTGTCTAAGACTGGGCCTCAATCAGCTCCAACACCATCACACCTCTGTGAGGTACCAGCAGCCCCATAGGTGTCAGTTCCAGGGGACCAAGGCACTTTGGGTCTCCTCAATGTTTTTTGTTTTTGTAAGGGGACTGCCCCCCATTGTCAAAGCCGAATGTGGAGCAACATCAAGACATTACGCAACATCGCATCCAACATCGTACCAAGCCCCCTCAGTGTTCTTCAGAAGATGGTGCCTCTGAATAGCCCCATCTTGGGGGTACAATGATGTCAAATAAATCTGGAAAAGCTTCCATGTGGTCTATAGGGGGGAAATGTTTGATTTGCCACTTTCTTGCATTGTAGGGGATTGAACTGGATGGTCCTCAGAATCCCTTCCAACTTCATCATTCGATGATTTATAATCATAGATTTAGAATGATGATTTAGAATCTATCTGCAGGGAGCTGGAAGAAGCCAGACATGCTTTCAAGCTGCCTGGCAATACCCAGTGCTATTTTTCTAGAAAATGAATTTTGTTGTTGGACTTTAATTCTCATCAACCTCAGCCAGCATGGACAGTGGTCAGGAATGATGGGAGCTGTATTTCAGCAATGTCAGAAAGGCTGAATGTTTACCATCTCTGGACCAGAGACATCATATTCTTGTGGTGGCTCCAGGAAATCATGAGAAAAAAAAGAGGGAAAGGTTTGTATGCTATTGATTAAGAAATTAGCCAGAAGATGGTTTCTAACTATGAGAG